CCCAACCGGCCACAGCGTCCCCCCGCTCCAGTGGCAGGCAGGAGCAGGGCCCCTCTCGGCTGCACAGGGGGCAGGGGAGAGGGCCCCGGCGGCTGGGCCCACCTCCCAGGCTGCTGCTGTCCTCCCCTGGGGAGCTGCCCTCCTCCTCTTCCTCCTCTTCGGCCCACGGGGCATTCCCCCGCTCCCCCAGCACCTCGGCAGGGTCTCCCGCCAGGGTCTCCCCAGCGCCCCGGCCCTCGGGGTCCCAGCCGCTCAGCAAGAAGCTGCCTGATGCTGAGGACTGGGCCGGGAAGGGCCGGGGCGCAGGGAAGAGGGGGGAGGCCCAGGTCTCGGACACCAGCTGGGGGACCTCGGAGGGGGCCTGGGGGGCCTGAGGGGCCTGCACTCCTGGGTCCAGGGGGTCCCAGTCATTGGGGAAGAGGGGCTCGGGTGGGGAGCCGTGCTCCTCCAGGCGGATGTAGTACTCGCTGCTCACCGAGGGGCTGCGGGCACTGATGACGGGCAGCACACTAGGCGTGGACAGCGCCTCGTAGAAGGGGTTGGAGGGGTTGGCGTGGGGGGCCGGAGGGGCCGATGCCGGCTGCCAGGGAGGCGCGCCCCCACCCCGGCCGGCCCCCCGCCGGGCCTTCTCCCACAGGCACTCCAGGTTGAGGCCTCGGCTGCTCTCGGTGACCGTGAGCACGTCGTCGGGGTCAGCCCCAGGGAAGCCATCCAGCAGGGGGAACGGTGAGGAGAGGGTCCCCGGGCGGGGTGCGCTGTGCGTCGGGGGCCAGGGCCACGGGAAGGGCCCATCCCGGGGTGGGGGAGGCGGTGGCGGGGGCCGGGGGGGCCGCTCCGAGAGCAGGTAGGTGAGTTGCAGTTGAAGATCCGCAGCCGAGGGGCGCTGGGCAGGTGGCCGCCAGCAGGACTGCAAGATGTCGTACCTGAGGGAGAGGTGAGGGCAGGCTGAGGAGGGCGGAGACCAGGAATGGGGGCCAGGGAGGGGGCAGAGGTCCAGGGACAGGGGACAGAGAGGCCCAGGGAGATAGGGACGTAGACTCAGGAAGTCAGAGACAGGTCCAAGGACGGGGGCCAGAGGAGACTCAGGGAGAGAATGGGATATAGACCCAGAGAAAGGGAGGGACAGGTCCAGAGAGAGGACCGGGTAGTGGACACAGACCCAGAGAGGGGGAAAGAGCAGGGACAGAATCAGAGGCAGATGTATCAGCAAGGAAGGGGGCGACACTCAGAAGGGAGCTGGGGAAGACACCTCTAGAGGGGACAGGGGCCTAGAGGAGGTGTGGTGGGGCAGTGTCCCCACGTGGGCAGCAGGGGTCTTTGGGACTGGCGAAGCTGGAGGGGGTGGGGTGTCCCTCTCCACTCCTGGGGTGTCTCTAAGGGCGAGTGAGATGTGGGTGGTATGGGAACAGTGGGGGAGAGGGCGTGGCTGGGCCATTCTGAGGCCAGCCATGATGTCCCGGCCCAGGGGAGGCTCGGCCCTCACCAGTAGTCTGCGTAGGGCAGCTTGAGCCTTGGCCGGGCCAGCTTCACGTGCTGCTGCCGGACCACAAACGCCAGGACCTCCTCATCGGACAGGTGGCGGTAGGGTTGTGCCCCAAATTCAAACAGCTCCCACAGGGTCACCCCCAGTGACCTGCAGAGAGCAGGGTGAGGTCAGAGCCCACCCTGACTTGCCAGAGGGCTCCCCTGTGGACCTCAGTTTCCCTGTCAGCAGGGCCGGTGGCATCCAGAGGCCCTTCTGCCCGCCTTGCAGGCCTGGCCGTGCCCTCACCAGATGTTGCTCTCACGGCTCTGGTCCACCACCATGAAGGTCCCGTGCAGCTCACCCAAGAGCTCAGGTGCTGCCCAGCGCAGCGGGATCCATAGGCGCTCGGGGGTCAGGTAGTAGTCCTCCTGCAGGCGGCCAGGCGCGGTCAGATGGGCCAGGCCCCCCTTCCCCCACCCCGCCCGCCCTGGCCCCCTG